CATAGCACAGAGAGCAGACTTAGCCATGCTTTCAGGAGGGAGGGCTGCATGGCCCAGTGGGAGCCCCTATATCTGTTCCCTGCTCACCTGGCCTGCCAGCTGCCCTTTTATCCTCTGGCTTAGGCTGACCTGGAGACAGGATCCTGCCACTCCCTGACCTTCATAAAGGCCCTTCAAGTTTGCCGTGTAGTTGGTGATTATATTGTTTGGATCCTGTGAATGGATGTTCTTAAATTTTTGTAATTAGCCATCATTACTCTTGGGTTTGATTCCTTCTGAAAAAAACATATCTGGAAGGGAGAATGTCATCAGAATGGGAAGTAGTAAACATCTGCATTGAGAGTTAGCAAGATAAACAATGGCTTCCTTGTGTGTATCCTCCACCTCGCCTTGGCCTTTATTGTACGAGCCCCAGGGATCCTCGACAAGCCCCGTCCCTCGAGCATCCCTGGGAGAGTTGGTCCAGTCCAGGCTACAGATCCCACCTTGGAGCTGACGTCCCCTCACCTCCCCTTTCCCGCCAGACCTCCTGAACTCCAAGCAAAGCATCCAGCCCGCTCTAAACATCCCCACAAGGATGCCCACGGCTCCCATTGCAGTTGCCTTTCTCCCTGCAGGCGGAATTGATCTCCTTCCTCTCAAATGTACCCTGGCTCCTGTGTTCTGTATTCTCATCACTGCTCCCAGTGAGACCCTGGGAGACCTCACTGACCCTCTGTACCCTTCACTTCTGTTCCCCACACCACCTGGGGCCTTGCTCAGATGCATGCCCGCAGTCCACCTCCTCCCTCTGCTGCTGCTGCCCCTTTCCTACCTCGAGACTTGGAAGTATTGGGATGAGATCTCTGACTGAAATATCCTGAGTGGCCTCTGCTTTCCCTGTCCCTCATTCCTCCTCCATTTTGCTCCCAGAACTTTCCACCAAATGCAAATGGCATCATCTTGTCCCTGTGGATGTGTGCTTAAGTGTGTGTGTGCATGTATGTGTATCTGCATATGTGTCTGTCTGTCTATGTGTGCATTCGTGTATGCATTTGTACACAAATTTACATGTTCATTTGTGCACATGTATATCCGTATGTAGACATGTACACACGTGTGCACATGCACATGTGTGTATATGTCTCTCTGTGTGCATAATAGTCTCTGTGTATCTGTCTGAGTGTGTGCATGTGCACAATTGCGTATGTGTCTCTCTGTGTTTACATTGTGTAGCAAGTGTGTCTGTAGTGTGTCTGTGTGTGTGTGTGCCTGGGTATGGTAAGGGGAAGGCTCCACAACATTCCCACTGCTACCCGGTACAGTTCTTGCTGAAAAGGGTGGAGGGACCTATGGTGAATGGAAACCTGTCCAAGGCCTCACTGAGGTCCCCACTCCACTAGAGGGCAGGAAGATGCTCTGCTGTGCCTGGGAGATGTCACCAAGGACACAAGAGAAAACTCTGGCCCAGGTCCATGTGGGGCTCAGAATAACAGGACTGAGACCCTAACCAAGTGCAGGTAGGTACCCAGTTCTTGCTCCAAAGGATTCATGATTCCACCTTTACCAGGTCCCAGAACCCTCCAGCCCTGGCCATGCTGCTCCTCTGCTGGACGTTCATCACCACTGCTGGTGGTCACGACAAAGCTCAGGTTTGACTATTCACAGTAGTCAAAGGGTGGAAACAACCCTGATGTCCACCAGCTGAAGAATGGATGACCAAATGCAATCTATCCAAGCAATGGGATCTCATTCACTCATAAAGCAAATGAAGTTCTGACACAGCTGCAACGTGGATGGACCTTGGAAACGTGATACTGGGTGGAAGAAGGCAGACACCAAAGGCCACACATTGCAGGACTCCATTTATGAGAATGTTCAGAGTCGGCAAATCCAGGGAGAAAGGAAGTAGATTAGTGATTGCCAGGGGTCATGGAAGGGGAGGGAATAAGAAGTGACTGCTAAAGCCTGAGGAATCTTTATGGGGTGATGAAAATATTCTGGAATTAGTGAAGGGGTGAGGGTGAGGTTGTGCCTCTCAGAAGGAGATGGCAGGAGTTGTGTGGAGTTTCTGAACTTGATGTGGAGCGAAAGTGCAGTGGTCAGTGATGGTAGCTGGCCAAGTGGCCTAGGCAATCCCCACCTGTGGCCTGGGTCCCCTCGAGGCTGACCCTAGAAGGGGTGAGTTGAGGTCAGTGAGCCCCCACAGAGGCAGCTCCCCGGCAGTGGGGAGTCATTTCCTTCTGCTGAGTTGCACAGCAGGGCCTTTTAAGTGCAGAGCTGACCTGAACTGGGTCTCTCGGGAGGAGACCAGCCTGATTCCTGCTCTAGATGGTTCTTCCCAACCCCTTCTTAACTAGAGGTCAGGGGTCGAGTGCTCATCTGTGCAGACGTGGTGCTCCCATGTGTGGTGAGCATGAGTAGACATACGCTGCCCTCCGACCAGCAAGTAAACAGGAACATCTGGGTCATCCATCTGGGCCCCACTGAGATGGAGGGGGTCTCAGGGTGTGTGGCATAGAGAAGCAACTACTGAAGGGTGGCTGTGTGGGTCAGTCTGGCCCTAGGACCAGCTACAGTGGGTCAGGGGCTGTGGTTTGACCGCTGTCTTCTCTCTTCTGAGTGTCCTCTTGAAAGGAGGATTCCCAGGACCTGGAGGAGGTGCTCCCTAAAGGCGAGCAGAGGTGTTTACATGAGCTCAGGACATGACAGGTGGGCTATAGTGTCCACGCAGGGTGACGCTCTGAGCCCCTTCAGGAGAGAGCCTGCCAGTGAGCTGCAAGGATGACAGTTGGCTAAAGACACCAGTGGCAGCACCCCAGGACCGAGCCCATTGGGACTTTGGGGAGGAGAGTGCTGAGCTGGCCTTTCCACCATGCAGGCTCCTCCATGGGCAGCCATGGCTCCCAACTCCCCGCTGGGCCAGCTCGGCTCCTTGGAGAGTCTCCTGCCTCATTTGGCTTCCTCCCTCCTGATCTTTCTCAGGTATCAACCCCAAGGCCCCTCTTGCTCTCTTACCCGGCTCAGTGGCCAATTCTCAGAGGAACCAACTGAGCAAGAAATCAGGTAAACAAGCCAGAGGAGAAAGGGAGAAATAGAAGGGTCCTGTCTGTAGGAACGATGAACTCTATGTGGGGTCCGCTTCTTACTCTTCGTTCTGTCTGTCCACCTGTTGCTTTGAGGCCACGACAGCTAGGACCTCAGACCTGGACCTGTTTGGGGTGGTTTCATTTCAGGGATGCTCCTTGGGCTCCACCCAGAATGAAGTCCACGTGGGGAGTAAAGCATGGTGGTTTGACCGCAGGGACTTGAGTCCCCAGGATGCCAGCTGCCTCTCTGAGAAAGTCTGTGGTCTTCCTGGGGTCCATACAGGGTCCTGTCCCATGGGAAGTGTGGTTTGCAGGATTCGGTTAAGATTCCACTTGTTCTGCCCCATCTTGCCCATGAAGGCCCTCCCCGGACACCAGGCCCTCCAGGGTCCAGGAATCCACTGAAAACCACTGCCCAGCACAGACCGGGCACCTGGACAGCCTGCAGGCAGGGCCAAGGCTGTTGTGGTGCAGACAGTGCTGGGGCAGGTACTGGACTTGGATTCCCAGACCAAAGAAAAGACTTCATGTAGGAATTCTGTTGCCCCCCAATTAGGAAGACAGACCCTGAAAATCGGCTCTGTATGAGCCCATGGGCTGGGCACAGGGATTCTTCAGCTCTGCCCACTTGTTCTCCAGCTGGAGGGGTGTGCCCTGGGGAAGTTCTGCTGAGGATTGTCACCTGTCAGGTCTTAGCATCCCTACCCCAAGTCTTAACCCCTCGACCCTTGAGGACCCTGAACCCTGACCCTGGCCATCTCACAGCCCCTTCTCTGCACAGACCCCTGGGGCTGCCACATCAGAGGGACACCGCTGCTTAGGGGCAGGTCAGCACCAGGTGGACAAATGGCACAGGGTCCTGGAATCCCAGGACACGGGCCTGCATGCACAGAGTCTTCCACCGACTCCCTCCTCCCAGGCTCCTGCCTTGATGGCCTCGTGCCATTGCAGGGACAGTGGTATAAGAACTGTCATCCTTATGGAAGCTGAAAAAACAAAGCCAAGGCAGTTGTAACCTGTGATTGCCTGGCCCCCTGGGCACCGCCTCAACCTGTGGGGGGCTTGCACCATGCAGGGACTCCCTACCTAGTATTTCGTTGTCAAGGAAGGAACGTACAAGTACCAGGGTGCCAGAAGTCTGCATCTGGGGCCTGCTGTGTTCAGGAGAGGCCCAGGGATGCTCGCCATCCCACCGGGGACCTTGGGCCTGTGACTTGGGAAGGTGCACTGACCCTGCATGAAGGGAGCTCCAGGCACCCCCCTGTCTCTAGGGAAGCTGGGCTGCATTCACCTCTCCTACCACAAGCAAGGAGACCCTGACCTCAGTTGGCTGGCTGTCACTGCAAAGCCCCAGGGTGATTTGGGAAACCATAGTGATGACATTACAATTGTGAACAAGGTCCCTCTTGAAGTGGCTCCCTCCCCAGGGGCAGTGCATGTGTCCAGCCAGGCCTAGGGGGAAGGGGCAGGAGCAGAGTCCCACCCAGGCTGGGATTCCAGGGTCCTGTTGTCCCCATCCTGATGGCCTTTGGAAGCCTGGTCTCCTGCCTGCACCCTCAAAGGCAGCCTCCCAGCACTCCTGTCACCACATCTAGGCAGTTGGGAATCAGGGGCCAGGTGATCCCCACCTGCACACATGTCATCACCTCTGGGCTGTATCCGACCCTGTTATCTTCACATCCCTTCTCCCCCACCACGTGACCACCCAGAACCTGAGCTTCTTGGGTGTCAGACCTGTCCCCCATTAGACCCTTGGTCAGAGCTGTAGCACCCATCCCTCGGCCTGGACCCTAATGCCCATTGGATTGGTCCAACTTTCAAGGAGAATGCAGACATAGATGGGTCCTCCTGTCCTGCCTTCTCTGGCTTGCCCACTTCCTCCCAGTTCCCAGCCCACGCGAGGGACCCCCACAGACAGGCAGAGTCACCAGGAACTGCTGAAGCTCTTTATGTGGAACTAGGAGAGGGGATGCATGGCTGGGGGAGGAAGGGGAGTCAAGGTAACTGGAGGGGCAGAGCAGGTCAGGCTCTAGAGGCAGGGGCTCCTTCCATGGCCTGCAGGACAGAGGGTCTTGATGGTGCTGCCCTGGGGCTGCTGTGGGGTGCTGATGTCCCCTGCCCTAGAAAGAAGGGAGAGGGTCAGTGAGTCCAGGACAGGGGAGGGGAGGGGGGGCAGGTGTGGGGTTCTCAGGGGTGGCAGTGTTGGGGGCATATGTAATGCTCTCAGGGCTGCTGCATGGAGGGCAGGCTCCCACTTCCACCAGGTGCACGGGTGTGGTGGAGGACAGACCCTGGCCCATTGGTCCCAAGTTACAGAGACAGAGAAAAGAAGGAGTCCCTAAATGTCCCAGGAATGATGTTCGGGGACAGACATCCCAAGTAAGGATCAAATCCCAGAAAGGATCTCAGAGCAGACAAGGCTCTGCCTGGCTCACATGGAGTCCCTCTTGTCTCCACCTTGGGGGTGCCTTGGTGACTCCTGACGTTCCTTTGAACCCAGGACTCTTGTTTGCTTCAAGGGTCACTTACCCTAGTCACTTTCAGGAATGCAGCTTTCTGTAGAAACCAAGGAAAATTCAGCAATGAGAAGAGACCCTAGCCAAGGGCCCAGACCCCATCAAGCCGCAGCTCTGACACCAATAGCAGAGACCCGGAGTGGGGCCCTTGTGCCCCTGTGACACAACACAGCGCTGATGTATCCCCCATGGGGGGGGGCAGGGGAAGGGGAGAGGAAGGTCATGGGGGACACAGAGGGACTTGAAGGGCACAGTGGGACACGAGGAACCTGTTGGGGACATAGGGAGGGAGATGGGGGACAGTGGGGGATGCAGAGTGGACACAGGGAACCTGGGCAGAGTTGTCTTCTTACCCCTCTGGACGGGCATGATGATGTTCTCCTGTGGCAATCCCTTGCGCTCTGCGAATTTCTTAAATTCTTCCAGGGCTTCCAGGCTCATGTCAGGATTTCTACCTGTAGGCGAGGTGACCAGGTGAGCCCCAGGTTCGGGAAGCAGACCCCAAGAGGAGACAGCGCCTCCCAGCACTTGGGGGGCTTTGTCCTGTAATGGCTGAGGCTGAGATGGAGGGTTTCCCCTGAAAGTATACAGATTAGGCCCAGAGGAGACAGGCCACCACCCAGGTGACAGGTTCCTATGAAGGAGGATAGCCAGGGAGACACTCCGAGACACCGAGGGCCCCTGGGGTCCCAGGCCCACTCTCAAAGCCAAGCTGCAGGGTCACACCCCTGACCTGGAAGAAGCTGATGGCCTGGAGGAAGCTGATGGCCTGGAGGAATTGTGATGCTCTCTGGCCAGAGAATTCTTGGGCTTCACCCCAATCTGGAGGGTCATTGCCACAAGAAGACCTCTGTCAGCAACAGTGCACTCCCCAATGCTGACCTGGCCTCACACCCCAGACCCCAGGAGATGGGACTTTGCAGCTGCGTCCATATCCCCTTTGTGAGAAGTCAGCTCACTGAGGGATTTCGGACTGGCCACCCAAGGGCAGCAAATTGTGCCCGGCCCCCAAAGACAAGCAGGTGTTCATATTCCCCAGAATCAGGATTGAAGCCAGTTCCACTGGCTTCTAGAAGCAGAGCCTGTGGGGGTGGGTCAGGAGAGGTGGATCTCTGAGGACCTGGGGCAGCAGCCTCTTACCCACGAGTTTTCCTATGCGGATTGCTTTCCCTCCGAGCTGGCCCTCGCAGTAGAAGATGCGGTGGTCCTTTACTGGCAAGTCCAGGATGTGCATGTGCCTCTTTCCCCCAACTGCAGACAGACATAGAGAAAATTGGTCTTTAGTGTCTTCATTCCTGCAGAAAATATTTGAGACATTAGGGAACATTTTGGAACGTTTCAGTTTCTCGGCCACCTTAGCTCTACTGACTGCCCCATAATCCAGGTGCCCAAGCTGGTCCAGTGCCCGGGACACACTGCTGCTCAGAACCATGGACCACACTCTGGAGAGGGAGACTCCTCATGAGGAAGGTTCCAACCCAAGCAGTGGAGTCACCAGAGGCCAGAAGACATCAGAGGCTGGGGCTCTTTCCTTTGTTCTCCCAGCACCTGCCCCGCCCTGCATCCTCATCCTCAACCCTTGGTTCTCTGCAAGCTGAATTGCTAGGACCATCCAGAGGGAGGGTTTGGTACTGTCATCCCTGCTGTGGAGAGACCTGTCCAATGTCAGGACAAGGAGACTCCTGGGAAGGGAGTGGTTAGCTGCTCCTGGGAGGGCACAGGGCAGGGACTGCCAGGCAGCAGGCGGCCTCAGGGGAAGGGGAGGCCTGGGCTCTGGCAGGGAATGTGGCACAGCCTGGTCTGGACTCACAGGTGCTGTATCTGCCAGGCTCCTCAGTTTGGTGCATCACAACTCTCTTCTCGTGGCACTGGCCCCCCTTCCTGGAAAACGGGAGGCAGAGGGAGAGGCTGTCAGGAAACACACTCGAGCCAACCTGAGCTCACCTGGCACACTGGCCTCTGCCCTGGTGTCCCCACAAGTTCCATTGTCACCCCCCCCCCAGTCTGGACTCTTTGCCTTCAAGGTCAGGGGGACATTCATTTTACCCACATCCCAAAGTGGGATGGGAAGAGGCACGAAGAGGGGCTGCTCTGGGCCACCTCACAGCCTGGGGAGAGAGAGGAGGAGGGGAGAGCAGGACCCTTGGGAGGCAACACTCACATGAAGGTGACCATGGCCTCCAAGTCTCCACCATCCAGGGCAGTGACTGTCAAGGGGGACACCTTCTTGGGCCTCTTCTCCTTAGGCAGGTCCTTGTCAGCCACCACGGCCTTCACATACCATGTCCCTATGATCTGAGCAGGGTGGGGGCCGTGAGTCCAGCACGAACATGGCCCAGAATCTCCTCCTCACCCCACTACCCCCATCCCCGGTGCATGGGCTGCAGCCATCACCAGACATCTCCAGCACCCCAGCTGCTGTCCTCCAAAGGCTGGCTGGGTCCCGTACATCCACACCCTGTGCTCTGTTAGAACCAGCCCAGCACTCAGGGCTCCCGACCCTAAACAGAGGCAGGGGGTCTCCCACCCCATGAGTCTCTTCTCTGCTGGGACCGGGCCCTGGCCCTGGATGAGTCTCTACTCCACAGGGTCCTCAGTGCCTCTGGGTTCCCAAAGTGTCAGACCAACAGTCCCTATGCTGAACCCGCTCCCCTGCTTCAGCCTCTGGGCCCAAGGAGGAGCGCTGTCTGAAGACACAAGAACAGAGCCTCCTGCTCCTCTGACCACACTCTGCAGGGAGCACAGGGTCAGAACTTCGACCTTGAATGACACCTCCTAACACAAGGCCCCTGGTCACTGCTGGCCAACAGGTAGTCACCGCCTTTCCCCCATAGCTCCCTCCCTGCCCTTCCCCCCTGGGCTCACATTCTCGTTCTCTGAGGGGAAGAACAGAGGGTCCTGAGCCTGCAGGGCTGTGATCAGGCCAAGGATGATGGTCAGGAACAGAACCTTCATCTCCAGGGGTCTGTGCTCACAGCCGCCGGCAGGTCACTGGGGTCTGGAGGAGGCTGTGCGAGTCCTCACAGCGCTGCCCTTTATACCCAGCTCGGCTCGTGCCCATAAACACTTGGCACTGGCCACACCCCTCCCACCTAGCATCCTGGCAATTCTGCATCAGGGGAGGTGGACTGTCATTATTGTTGGAATCTGATGAGTGATAATTAAGTGCCACCCATAGAATAAAAGACACATAATACCATCCCTTTTTCCTGCCTCCCAGGGTGCTTACTCCAAGTGAGCCATCTGGATGAGGACATTATCAGAAGGGGCAGGGGTGCATGTCTGCACTCCCAGTCATGGAGGGAAGGCCAAGGGCTTCCTTACACCCCCGCCCTTCCCCCTCCCCCAGGATCCCAGGGCGGGATCTTCTGCCAGTTCTCTGGTAACTGGCCTCTCACTGCTGAGGGGAGAGGGACTGAGCTTTACAACTACAGAGACAGGGTGTGCAATCAGCTGATTCCCACAGGGTCCCCAGAGTCCGAGCTCTCTCCTGCCCTGGGGCCCCTGCATTTGCTCGTCCTGGGCCTGGGCCCCTCAGGCCACATCTTCCCGGCATTGGGGGCACTATTTTATGTCTCAGGATCAGTTTAAATATCACCTCCTCAGAGGGGCCTCCCCAGGCCACAGGAGGGAGCGATCTGGCTGTGCCACCCCCTTCATTCTGGACCTCCAGGCCAGGCTGTGTTTCCCGGAGAGCTCTCATTACTCTCTGGATTGTCTGCTCATTTCTCCCCATGAGTGTTCAGTGCCCATCTTCTCTGTTAGAATTAAGTTCCCCAAAGGGGAAGGCTTGATTCCCGGGTCTCATGAGTTCGATGGCCTGTAGGGAGGAGCTCCATCCACGTGCTAGGTGCTCTTGGTCGTTCGTTCATTCAAGAATAAACCAGTTACTGAATCTCTCTGAGCCTCAGAGGATTCAGCCCCCACAGGGGCACCCACAACTTCGATCACTTTGGATCTTTGTAAGGCTCTGCTGAGTGGGCCTGCGAAGACCCAGCTCCCCTGACATGTACAAGGCTCAATGAATGAGGGCTCCTCCCTCCTTCTGCCTGGAGTGGGACCAGGGACCAGGATCCATCAGAGCCTGTCCAAACCCCCAATACTGCAAGTTGCTTACATTCATTCTTCTAGAACCCCGACTTTCCAAAATGCTTTCACCTCCCTCCTCAGCTTTGACTGCCTCATGTACCATAAGACAGGCCTCACATCTCCTTTCCTTTGGATAAATGGGCCGAGTGAGGCACAAACAGGCCACGAGGGGCCTGTGCTCTGAGTTCATGGTTGAGCACACTTGGGCACCTGGCTCTGCTGGCCTCAGTCCTGGCTGCCTTCTGAGCAAGAATTTGGCCTTCTCCCTCCCTGACCCTGTACTTCCTGGGCTTGGATCATCTCCGCTGAGACCCACAGCTGACGTAGACCCTGTACACAGGTGCTACGGCCACACAAGGGCAGCTTTGTGCCTCTCTGGCAGAAGATTGGACACCACTGCCGATTGCACACCCCCAAGTACTAGCTAAATAACAATAATAAGCCTTCTCTAATAACCCCCGGGGGATTGTACTGAGGGTGCTGGCACGATCCAGTAATCAACTGCCAACTTGGAAGGTGCTGCTGAGCAGAAAACCTTCCGTCCTGGGAGTAGGAAAGGGCGAGGCCAGTGCACTTTAGGACCAGAGATTAGTAAACATGCTGGAGTCTCTGTGTCAATGGGAGAGCATTTCCTCTGTCCTGTTCTTGTTGACTGTACCCCAGAGACCTTGATTTCCCTCATTATATGGAGTCACTGATCTGAGCATCTTATGACATTGACAAATTTAATTCCATCCTTGAAAAGATGATGGAACACCACGTAGGGGTCGTTGGGAGGACAGGGCTGCCCCCATGAACCCTATGCTTAGTGCAATTGGAGGTTTCCAGGGGCTGCCCGTCGTCCACCATCTTGTGCTGTGCCACCTCAGGTGAACTCTACAGAGCTTTCCAATTGTGTGGTGTTTTTTTGGATACTGGATGTGTTCAACTGGTGGTAGACACCACTGGGAGAACAGCGGCAGGAGGGGAGACCTATCTCCGCCCCCCAGTACACAATGGCCTGAGGCGTTTCTTTGGATGGCTGCATCCCGTTATGATGGGAGACCATTATACCACCCACACCATGATGACTGCGTCTACTCCACAGCTGTAGCTCTCATCACTTCTGGTGACACCTCTCACAACCTCTCCTTTGAATCTCAGAGTGGTCACAGCTCCTCACAGCTGCTACTTCCCAGATGTCTCACTAAGGGGGAAAATGTCTGGGCCTTCCTTGGCATATGGGAACAAGAAGGTTTTCGTGGCACTACCAAACAATCACCAAGACCAGAGGGCTTGCTGGCTGGGATAGGTGGACATGGAGAAGGGGCAGGAGAGGAGGCAGGATGGATGCAAATTAAAGCCCCCAGACCACCCGGAAAGCTGGGACTGCAGCTTGTTTCTACTAACCATCTCCTGTCATTATTTTAGAGATTGTGGCTGCTTACTACCCTGAAGCCTCAGTTCCATAATTCACCAGAACAGATTTGGTTTGGAGCATGAGTGCATCAGTGCAGTGCAAGGGGTGGACTATGGTTGACAGTGCTGATGGCCCACCCCCTCAGCCCACTGCACCTGTAGTTCCTGCACACTGAGAGGGTCACAGCTTCCCAACCCAATGCCTGCATCCTCTGTTCCCCTATGCTTCCTATGCACACATGGTGACACTAGAAGTGCAGGTGAATTCACCTACCGAGTCAGTAGAGATGGTAACTGATGGGCTAATAGTCCTCAGCTCTTTGTTCCCCATGGGACAGTCTTGAGATGGTTCCACCCTATTTCTCAGAGGATCTTCAGGAAGACTGAGTCCCAGTTGCCCACAATAGTGACCATCTCATTGACATACCCTTTATTGGATTTTCTACCTTCCCCATCTCACTTGATCTCAGACTTCTCCTCCTAGAACTGTGAGAGAATGAATGTTTATGTTTTAGCCACCTGGCTTATAGCACTGTTCACAGCAGCCTTAGGAAACGAATACAAGCCTTTACATATTAATGATTATAGCAAATGTACATAGACTAACCATGCAAACTAAACGACAGGGATTGGCAGAGTAGATTAAAAACCATGATACAACCATATGCTGTCTTCAAAAAACTTACTAGAAATATAACAATAGGGGTAAGTTGGAAGTAAAAGCATGGAAAACATAAAATAAACAAAATAAATCAGTGAATTATGTTACCAGTTATCAAGGGATTGCCTCTGTAATACAACATCAATGTGTTGCCCTCCATTGTTTGCTCTGCAATAATGGAGCTGGACCCAGTAGGCATTTCTCTTTTGCACCTGGCAGGGGTTAAGCTTTGCTAGCAGAAGGCTTAGGGCAAAGGGGCTTCCTTCCTGGTTCCAGGGTGCTTCCAGGTTTTTTCATTTTCTTTCTCCTGGTGTACAACCAGCAGTGGCACAATCTGGGGATGTCCACAGGCACTCACCCACAGTGGGTGATCAACAGTGGAATCAGTGGATCCCCTTGGATAGCTTCCTAGGGGGATTGAGTGGCACCCCCACAAGTGGAATCCCGGTGAGTCCTGTAGGTGTCATAACCTCAGCCCACCTGCCCCTGGTAGGGGACAGAACTTTGGCACTTGCCACTGTCCGCCTACATTTCCCTACCCGCTGAACGCTGCTCTGACCATGGACCAGCTCTGGCCCTTGGCAACCGGCAAACTCCTCCACCATCCCTGAACTGCAGCCACACCTTCTCCGACAAAGTCTGAACCCGGCCTTGCAGAAGTGGACCCCTCCCACAATTGTTTCTTTCTTAGCTACTCTACTGTAATTCTGGGCTATTCTCTATAGTTCTCTTTACACTTTTATACTTAATTTTTCCTTATAGAAACTATTCCTGCTCAATCTTTTGTATAGTTTCTGTGTCCTGATTGAACATTGATTCACATAATTACATATTATTTTAAAAGATGATAAGTGCTATGGGGAGAAATCTAAGTGGAACAAGTTGTTTAAGGAGTGTCAGGACAAGGGGATAGTTTTATTTTAAATGGCATGGTTGTGACAAGCCTCACCAAGGTGACATTTGAACACAGAATTAAAGATAATGAATGAAATCAACAGGTGGAAGAGAATTCCAGGTGGAAGGAACATAGAGTTCAAGTCTTTGGGTAGAAGAGTGCCTGGCATGCACCAGGGACATAATGGAGGGCAGAGGGACTGGAGAGATTAATACAGGGAAAGAGTGGCCAGAGATGAGGTCAGAGAGAGGGTGGGACCGATTCAGTTGGGCTTGTAGGCCATGATAAGGACCTTAACTTTTACTCTGAGAGTAATAGAAAGCCTCTGGTGAGATTTTACAACGAATTTGACTTCTGGTTTTAAAACATCACTCCAGTTGCTGCATTGAGGATAAATTTGTGGGGCAAAAATAGAGGCAGAGAAACTACTTTGAAAGGTGCTGCAATAATCCAGTCCAGAACGATGGTGCAATGAGGCCTACCAGCCATCAGGGAGTAACAGGGTGTGGAATTACATACCCACAGCAAACAAAGAGAAAACTGGTCAGAATAAATGAAATGATTTCTTCACTAATGGCTGGTCTACATATGTATTGTTGGAAAGTCCACAAGGCCAGAAAAAAAAATCCTTTGTATAAAGAATGATTCCAAGGAACTGTAAGTCACACCACACCCAACACACACAGATTCTAGAATTAGTTGACATGCCAAGAAAATCGCAAAGGAATAGTCTTTCAACAAGCAGTGTTGGGATAACTGCATATCCACATGTGAAAGAATTAAGTTGACCCCCTACCTCACACCGTATGCAATACTTAAGTCAAAATGGATCAGGAATGTAAATGTAGGATCTAAAACTACAAAACCCCTAGAAGAAAATGTACAAGTAAACTTCATGGCCTTGGATTAGGC